GGGTGTGGGACTGGCTGCAAGGGCAAGTGTGTGGGGGAACACTCCAGGGTGCTCAAAATCCCACAAATGTCACCTGAGCCTTCTCTGCACTGTGAGACCTGCAGGTATGTCCCCACTGGGGGGTCCTGCTCTGCACTTGGGGCGCCTAGAGACCCCCAAAGGCTGTGGCAGAGCCAGGCAATCCCTGTCCCTGACCCAGGAAGTGGATGCTCAGCTCTGCCTGCCTTGCTGAGCCCTGCAGAGCTCCAAACCATGGCAGAGGACAGGCTCCCCTCCTGGGCTGGCAGCAGTGCCCTTCCCCTGCCCCTGGCACCATCTCCACAGCTGCAGAGACCTCCCCAGACACCAGCTGGCACCCACCACCTGCCCCGGGGTGCACAGCCCTGACAGTGGCCTTTCCTCCCCAAAAAAGCAAGAAGAAAGAAAGGGGAAACCACTGGGACCCAGGGAACTGCCACCCCCGGGGGGCACAGGACCCCCGTGCTGCCCATCTGGCACTTCTCTGCAGCCCTGTGCACAGGGGTGGCACCCACAGCAAGACAAGAGGTGGAGGGGGACATGGGGGGCCCTCAGTGCTGCTGGCAGCACCCGGGGCACCAGGGATGCTCCTGGGCAGGGACGGTGTGAGGTGACCCCGGGTGCAGGAAGGGAAGGGTCATGGGGCGTTCACCTGGTGTTCACCTGGTGTTCACCTGCCCACACCACCAGCACCCACACGTTCACCTCTGTTTATCTGCCCCTTTCCAGGGCAACTGTCGGGGCTGGGAGGCCCTTCCTCATCCTGGTGTCACACACAGTTACCACCTTATCCCCCTGTAAATCCGGAGCAGACCGTGTCTGTCCCTTCACCCGGGCACCAGCAGCTGTGGTGACACTGTGACCGACCTGGATTAAACCTCTCGCAGTAGAACCTGCACCCCTGGGGTGCTCCGGGGAGGGAAACTTGTTTTATCAGACACAAAATATTGAAGTTTGCACTGCAGGCAGGGCGGCCGGGGGGAGAAGCCCCTTCCCCACATCCCCTGGCGTGAGAGCAGCCCCTGGGGACGGGCAGTGAGGGGCAGTTCCTGCCCAGCCCAGCGCCAGGGGCACTTCCACCAGTACTGCCCGGGCTGCTGATGACCGGAGGGATGGCTGGAGACAGGAAGAAAATAAACCCAGGGGAGGATAAACTCCTGCAGGGTGGGCAGGGGGGCTGCCAGGGATGGGCTCGCCCCCTCCAGCCCCTCCCCCTCCTCATGGATCCCCTGCCCAGCGCTGAGTCCCAGCTCTGCCCCACGCAGGACGGGGTGCTGGGGGGGGGTCCCACTGCAGCGACCCCCCAGTGAGGATGTCCCTGTGCCGCGGCATTTCCGCCCCATCCGTGTTTACATTCCCCCCCGATGGCCGGTGCCGATAACGGCGTAGCCACATCCACTCTGCCCGCCCCGGGGCTGCTGCTGCAGATAAAAGTTGCCCCCGGTAAACAAGCCCATCCTGCCCGTGGGAAGCTCTCCCTGCCCACATTCCAGGGGGGATGGAAACCCCTTGCCAGGACTGGGCAGGACCCTCAGTGTCCCTGTCCCCCCAACATGGGACCCTGGTGTCCCATCCCCTGGGCACTGGTCAGGGCTGGCACTTGCTGGGGGTGCTCAGCACCCTGAAATGCACCCCTGGGATGTGCCCCTTGGGTCGTGCTCTTGCAGAGGAAATCTGACAGAGTCAGGAATCCCCCCAAGAGCCAGCGTGGCCTGGGCACACACCTGCCACCTGGCACAAGCCACAGCTCTGCCAGGGACAGGGGGGTGCAGGGGCTCTGCTGTGCCCGGGGCTGGGGGTCTCCAGCTGCCTGCAGAGGGAAAAGCCCAGCAGAAAGGTCTGCAGGGGTGGAAAACAGAGCAGGGAGAGCAAAGGGCCCCAAGTGAGGCTCCCAGGAGCTGGGATGCTCCTCTGCCTGAAAGCACAGCTGCTCTCAGATGTTGTTTTTGTTGCTGAGGTTTTTTCACGACAGTTTCCACACTTTTTGTGAAATCCCCACTGATGTTATTGCAAACTTCTCCCTCCTTCCCCCCTGCCCTGTTTTTCTTTAGCAATAGGCCCAGGAAAACCAGCAACGGTGCAGAAGGGCCAGTGAAAATGTCTGTAAAGCCTCTGCAGGTCCTGGTGAGGAGTCTCACTTCTCCAGGTACCTGCAGCCAGAGGGTGCTGGGAAATACTGGGAATGAACCCCTGCTGTGAGGTGTTTGGAAAATGTTGGAAATGGGGAATTACTCCCTGCAGGCTTTGCTGTCCCTGCAGCAACATGGGAAAGAAAGCAGCTTCATTATGATTTTATTATTTTTTAATCTGAAAATTTAATTGCACAGGGATTTGGGGGGCAGGAGAAGGACCTGAGATTGCTTTAGTGTAGCCTTTGACACTGGCTGGGTTTCAGGAGCTGGATGCCCCTTTCCCTGATTCTCACAACGCTGCCACAGCCTCGGGAAGAGCTGCAGCCCCAGAACAGTGATCAGCTGTGGGGCTGCCTGCGTGGGGCAGGGCCCAGATCTCTCCCTCCATCCCCTCTCTGGTGGGAAGCAAGGAGAAGACATCCCACCAGCCCTGCCTGGCTCCATCCAGAGGGCACCACGGCTCCCTCCACCGAACCCATGGATCCGTAGGGCAAAACACTGTGGGAACAGGCTAATAAACAGCCCATGGAGTGACCTCAGCCCTGGCTGTGCCGGCAGCCAGCAGCAGGCTGTGACCCTGGGTACCCCGGGTACACTCTCCCTCTTTCATCATTATCCACGCATTCGCTCCCAGGAGCTTTGCCTGGAAAACAGGATGTGAGCGTGTGAGACGGGCGCAGCACATGCAGAACGTGGACACTGCTGGGGTGCTGCCCTGCCTGCTGGGGTGGGAAGCAGGGATGGCACTGGGATTGTCCCCGTGGGCTGCCAGGCCTGGCTGTGAAGGAGCCACAAGACATAGGATCAGTTTTCAGCTGCTCCCGATGCAAAGCCTGAAGATTCTCCCTAAACCCCCATAAAGGCAGGGATGTGCTGGGCGGACACACAGACACACCAACAGTCCTGCTGGGTTGTTTATGGTCACCGTGCCTCGACCGTGCTGAGCTCCAAAAGCAGCAGCTCAGTGAAACAGCACATTTTAATTTCTTTTGATTGTTCTGACGCAGAATTTTCCCCTTCTTGCAGTCCCAGCCGAGGCCCTGCTGCAGCTCCCACCGCCGCGCTCCCGTTTCCTGGGAAGGAGTTTATATGGAGCCCAGAGTTTATGCCCAGCTTCCTGCAGCCCTCCCAGGACAGGCAGTACCCAGCGGGTTAAAGCTCCATCACAGCCTGTTTATGTGCTGACAAGGAAACATGATGACAGATAATCCCAAACAACTTCAAAGCAAGATTGGTGAATCTGATACGGAAACTATTCCTAGAGCCTCAGCGTGGGGAGCCCTGCACTAATTACTGCCATGGACATGAAAGGCAGAGCAGGACCCGCTGCCAAAAGCCCAGTGCCTGGCCCCAAGCCCACCCCCGGGTCCCTCTGTCTACCACGCTGGGTGGATGAGGGGATCTGGGGTAAAATGATGCTCCTGGAGTGGCTCTTGCTGAAGCAGAGGGTAGATCACCCCATGGTCCTCACCAACATCTCCTTCCTCTCTCCAAACACGTCCGTGGGCTCCATGTGCAAGAAGAGCTGTGCTGCTCATTCCCTGCATCCCCACTCTCCCCTCTCTAATCCATCCTGACTCTCTCTCCATGGAGGAACAACAATGTTCAAGTATCCATTGTTTACTCTGTTAGCACCAGCCAAAGGAGCTGCTCCAACCCGTGGTGTAAACGTATTTTCCCAGAATTTTCTGAATAGTCCCTTGGCCCACAGTGGCTGTGCAGGTGGAGGGGCCCAGCCAGCAGCTCTGGCTGGTGACAGGGACAGGTGAGGGCAGGGGCTGCCTTCCCTGCAGCCAGCCCTGGGCTGGAGGGTGCAGCCAGGATCTCCAGCACCACCAGGGCTTGGCTCTGGAACGGAGGGGATGGGGGTCAGGCTGGGCAGGACCCAGCATCTCTGTGCTTCAGCTTTTCCAGCTGTAAAACTGGGACAAAGACACTGAGCCAAATTACTTCCCCGCCTTGATGAGATGCCTGGGACTCTCCCTTCCTCTCCCCAGGCCAGCCAGCTCCCTGGGAAGGGAGCAGGGCACTGGGCTCTCCTGGCTGGGAGCGGGAGGAAAAGTTGTGTTCAAGTGCTGGAGAGGAGACACCAGAAGTGGGGTCTGGACGCTGCTCTGGCACCTGGAGACGTTTGTCCTGCTGTGGGTGTCTGTCACTTGGAATGCAGCAGGAGCTCCAGGCAGGGTGGTGTGGAGATGGTCTGAACATGCCATGAAGCAACACCTGTGGGACAACACACTGTGAAACCCCCAGGGCTGAGTCCCATCCCGTGCTCAGCCCCTGCTGGCTCCAATGTCCAATTTCCCACGGACATTCCACCAGAAGCTCTTGCTTTATTTTGCAGACACAAAACCCAGCTGTGGCTCCGTGTGCCGGTGCTGCAGAAATGTTGGAAGGACAAGGACTTCCCTGTGCACAGCTCCCCCGTGCCTCGAGCCGTGCCCGTGGAAGCCCAGGGCTTGCCCATGCCAGAAATCACTGCCAGAGTGGGAGCTGGGAAGGGTTGCATCAAGCCCTCGTCTGACTGCTTTGGAAAACCAAAACAGTCTTGTAAAGATCAAGGCTGTAAAAGTGGGGCTCCCTTGTGCTGGTCATGAATGGGAAGGAATGCCAACTGGATAATTTTTTACACATATTTTTTCCTCTTTGTCAACATTCCCCCATTTGGCTGAAACTTCAAAAATCCCATATTTGGAGAGTGCCGTGCTTAGAAGTTCCAGTATTTGTATAAATAGCTGATAGTGAGAAGATCACCCGCTCCGGAGCCGCCCAGTGCCTTCCAGTCTGGCATGAGTCCCTGCAAGTGGAGAAGGAAACCCGGGTAGGGGTCTGCAGAGCACCAGCACCCACCCAAGGCAGGACAGGGGGCAGCTAAACCCTGCCCGTGCTCCTCCATCTGCTCGGAAGGGGTTTGGGCAACACGTGTGGGACAGAAAGTGACTGTGGGATGCCCTGGCTGTCACCTTTTGGAGCTGGGATGTCACCTTGTCATCCTTCTGCTGCTGGCAGGGGACAGGGGTGTTGCTGGCAGGGGACAGGGGTGTTGCTGGCAGGGGACAGGGGTGTTGCTGTGCC